CGTCCTCGTCCTCGGCCGCTGCTGCCGCCGCCGCCGCTGCGGCCGCCTCGTCGGCCTCGTCCAGCTGGAACACGCACCAGAGCGTGAACGCCGCCTGGAGCGCGCCGTCCAACCCGTGGGGCGGCCTGCAAGCCGGCCGGGACCCTCGCCGGGCGGTCGGCGTCGGTGTCGGCGTGGGCGTCGGGGTGCCTTCCCCACTCAACCCCATCTCGCCGCTCAAAAAGCCCTTTTCCAGCAATGTGATCGCGCCGCCCAAGTTCCCTCGCGCGGCCCCGCTCACCTCCAAGTCCTGGATGGAGGATAACGCTTTTCGGACCGATAATGGTAACAGTCTGTTGCCATTTCAGGTAATGCTGGGTGCACCTGCACAGGCCTGCCTCCCATCCCGCTCCCTTTGCCTCCCTTTCCCCACTTCACCCTGCGCCCGTTTGTGTTCTTTTAGACCCGCAGGAATGGCCAGCTCTGCCGCCCGCCTCCCAAATCCTCTAGTTCAGTGGGGCTGTTCCACTCCTGAGGGTGAGGTTGGGGGATCATTGTGACTGCTTGAGGAGTCATCTTTATGCGCTGTCAGAGTAGAAGGACCTTTCTCTCTGAGTTTATTTTCATCTTCCCTATGCTCGTGCCTCTTATTTTGACCTTCTTTGACAAGTAAAGCTGCACATGTATGGCGAGGTGCCGGCATAGTCCCAGAATGAGTAGACTGAGATTCCTATCATTTTAAGTAGCTACACATTTTAGGTTATGCAATCTCGGACTCAGCGTGCAGCCAGAAAGCCGTCCACACCCAAACCACCCTGGCCTTACTCTTAAAGAGGTTAACAGCCCTTGAGTGGAGCTATTTCAGACAGTTGAATATGCCCAATTAAACTAATGTGAACACATGTGTTTATGTCTCGCTAAGGTGCTGGGATCATTAATAACAATCAGCATTTGCTCCTGCCGGGAAAATTATGAGTGTGAGATTCCAGTAAACACCCGAACTCCGTAAGGGACAGAGTTGGAAGAGTGGAAATTCTAGGGGCATTCCTTCTTATGTTACCTAGAAGGAGGTTTTAGAATTATTATTTTTTTTTCCAGAGGAAAGAGACAATAGGACGCGACCTTCAGAGCCATATTGCAATGGAGTCTATTTGTTAGCTAGCACTGAAATATTTAAAGCTGCAGTGTCCTTCACCAGTTGGGTTATTTAAGAAGACAATGCAGATCAATTACACCATTTGAAACTGGGCAAAGTGAAAGTCTTGCAACTTTAATGAAAAATGAGTCTTGTGTGTTGGTGTTAAATGCCAATAAAAAACCTAGGAAGTGCTCCAGACAATAAGGTTGAATGGAGAGTGTCCTTATTTCTCTTCTTGATTTCTGATCTAGTTGACCACAGCATTTGGCAGTGTCCTAGACATCTTGGGAAGGGGTGGTGAGGGGTCTTCACTGGGGTGTTGTGCTCTCAGGCAAACATTCATTTTTCACTTACAGATTGATTCATAGGTCAACTCGTAGGCTCAGTTAAAAAAGAAAGGACGAAGAGAGGGGAGGGCTTTGAACAAGACTCAGTTTGGGTTGGATGGTGGAGGAAATGAAGTAGAAATTCTTTGAGTAGTACTGAAAGATGGCAGAGCCAACAAATTGACGGAGGTAACTTCAGTGTCAGGTGCACTCAGAGCCTTCATTTTGCTGCTCTTTACATTTCACATGTTTGAGCCAGCTCTCATAGCTGAGGAAGGAGATGGGGTTATTGAGAAGAATGACTTTCTCTAGGCTAGAGCAGGGATTTTTTTAACCTTGACATTTCTTGGGAGTCTATGACATCTCTGAAGAGTTAATGAGAAAGGTTCTTACCAAATGTTCACAAGAGTCCTTCAGGAATGGAAGGTTTTAATATTAAGGTGTATTTCTTCCTATTGTCCTCAAGTTTATTTTAATCAATGAGACACTTCAAGATGGGATTGATTTGGTTGATAGAGGAAAGCAGGAATCTGCTTTCTGGAATGTATGTGTGCCTTTCTTGGCAGGGGTTGGGAAGGGAGCTCTTCCTTCTGACAGTTCCTCCTTTTATGTTGACAATGTCCATAAGTCAGTCTTAGGGGAGAGCCGAGACTCTTACAGGGAGGTTTTAGGATAGGGAGCTGATAGTGTAGACGCATCTACTGTTGTTACCTTTTTTCCAGGAGTCGAATCTGAATATAATCAGTTTTTGATTAATATCTCTCAAATTGGGGATTGGGGAGAGATTAAATCCACAAAATTTCCCCAGACCTGATATTGACTAGCACTGTGAGGATTGCCAGTTGTTTCTCCGCGAACCATTTATCAGTGCTGCTAACAAGAACCAAACGGCACCCAGTCTGGTGTCTTGTCTTCCCCTCTTTTTCTGTGTTACTGAATACAAAACAAGTGGCAAAAGATTTGTCAGAAGAGAGAGCTGATTGAAAGTTGAATATTATTTATTCGCCCTCAAGAATTACATGCGCGTTATGTCTCACTTCTTTTTCTTACATAAATTGAACTCTAGGGTTTCAAAATATATTGGAATGGGAGGAGTAACTTGATTGTGCTTTGGTTTAGAATATGATCAGACTTTGTTTTGATAAGCTGTACTAGATATATTTCAAAATCATACCTGAGTTTTGTGTGCATAATTTTGTGTTCTTACGTTTATTTAAATCATTTTTTCTAAAAAAGAGATGGAGAAAATATCTTTAGCTCTGATGGCTTAAAAATTTATTTTGGCAAATATGATTTTTTCCATTAGATAGAAGAGAGTATTTCATAGAATATTAACTGATTTTTATTTAACAGACTGAGCTAAAAAGGGTTTTCAACAATGATCTGCCATAATCTTAGTATTTTTTTTTTTTAAATCTGTGCCTCTTTATAGTGCTTTCTCATTATCTTTTGCCAATTTCTACCAATAGTTTTTTTTGTTTCTCTCTTAGGTTTACTAATGTGGTTTATATTGTAAAAACAATACTCGTATTTGAATGTGGTTTTTAAATTACAGGTGCTTCCTTATTCTCATAACGTTGATTGGTTTCCCTGGGTTGGGGCAGCTGTTTCCTTAGGTATTACTTGTGTCTGAAGGCCACTTCATTTCTATAAGGAAACTGAGGTTCTGAGAGAGTGACAACTCGGTTCTTAGAGCTCTTTGTCATTATGTGTCTGTAACTCCCCCGTAGTGCTAGTGCTGGTGTTGGTAAGTTAGAATTCTTTTTAAATTGGCCTGAGCATGTACATACTTGCCAAAGAGAGAGAGAACGTGAGAAAGCATCCCCATGGGGCATGGTCTGCTGCAATCCCTTCTCCTTATCTTTCTCCTTTCGGAATTTTGGGCACACACGCATACATGTCTTTCAAGCTACTGGGTCCAGGACTTAAACAGCACAGTCGACCATGAGGGATCAGCTGCCTTAACCACAAGGTCACAGGCTGACCCAAAAGAATTCATTTTCTTTTCTTTCTTTCTTTATATAACTTTTGCCAGAAGTCATGTGCTTTCTTGGTACAATCTTTTTCCTTCCGTTTCTTCATTCTGTCAGGGTTTTCTAAGCTATATGAGCTGGGATTTGAACTGCAGTCAGCCATATGGGATCTGGCTGCTTATGTACAAAGCTTAATGAGCTACAGGGCCAGCCCAGGGAGAATTCATTTTAAGTCAGGTTCTTCTTGGACTCCACTCAAAGGGACTTAGAGGCCCTCACTAAACAGTTCCATCTCTCTCAGGCCGATGCCTCTTGGTGAAGTACTTCTCATCACAGCTCGGGGGCAGTGAGGCACTCCACTTGGGGATTATGTATATGCACCGTTTTATATTTTATAAGATAGGGAAGAAATATGAAAGGACTGAAGCAGAGATATTTTCTGTATGTAGCGAGTTTGGGTTTAAATAATATTATTCAGAGAAGAATAGAAAAGACTTTGAGAGCACCTCTTCCAGACTACTCTGATCATTTTACAGAGGAGGAAATTAAAGTCCCAACAGTGAAACAATTTGTCCATGCCGAGCTGGGAAGTTTCTGTCACAAGCAGGTTTTGATGCATTATGCCTGCACTCATAACTCTGTCAGTTCCTGGCTTTGTAATGTTGAGTAAGTTATATAAACATGGTGGCCCTCAATTTCTTCCCCAGTAAAATGGAAATAGTAGGTCCTTGTTTTACACGTGTTCAGATGACAAACTGCATGTAAAGTGCTTAGTACAGTCAATGGTCCATAGTGAAGTATCCCATAAATGTTCTGTTCTGATTATTGATTTTGTCATGGTGACCAGATGTTCTGCATAATCTTATCATAGTATTGACTTCTTAGTTTCCATACCGTGCAGTCTGAATAACTTCAGTGTAATGTCATTTATTCTTTTTGTACCCTAGAGATTGTGTAATCTTACCAAAAGGCCTTATAATGTCTGTGTGTGTATGTTTGTCTGACAGTATCGTTAATCAGAGCCTCTGGTCAGTATAACAACATGCACTCCAACATTTTACCTGTGGGCCAGGTCCTGCACGAAGCACTTTACATGTATTTTCTCATTGTAACTTCTTGGTAACAGAGGACTATTTACTATCCTATTTATACTGACAGAGAATATGAGGGTCAGAGTATTTATTTACATTGTTTGCTCAAGATCACACAGCCAGTATCTGGCAAAGTTGGGATTTGAACCTAAGCAGTCTGCCCCCAGAGCCTGTTTCCTACCTACTTGACTTCACTATAATATTTCTAGGACATCTGTTAACAGCATAGTGATACAGGAGACGGGATTGAATTTGTGCTTGACTTTATTAGAAACCCGAGACATTGTGTTTAAAAACAATGTATATATAGAAATAGAGGAAGAAAAATATAACGAACATCTGTATACAACTACTTAGATTCAACAATTGTTAATATTTTTCCCTATTTTATCTATATATTCTTAAATAGTTTTAGAAAAAAAATTTGAATTATTTTTTTGTCTTTTTTCTGTATCTCTGACTTCATTCCTCTTCTCTTCCCTCTACCTCTATGTTAAAAGTGGTAACAGGACATTTTATATTTTCTGTTACAAGTCTAGTTAAATGAAATTTATTATGTTTTGCTGTGAGTTATCAATGACAGGAAGAAATTCTTTAAATGATTTAATGAGACTATAAATGATATTAAAAACCAAATATGGGGCCAGCTGGGTTGCTGGATCCCATATGACCAACTGCACTGTTCAAGTCCTAGACCGTGTGGCTTGAAAAACATGCCAGGCACATTGGTGTCCATGCTCAGAATCCTGAGAAACAGGAATAGAGAAGGGATTGCAGCATGATCATTCGCCCTGAGGAGTGCTTTCTCACTTTCTCTCTGTCTCTCTCTCTCTAGGGAAT